GAGGAGGGGAGCTTTGAAGCGGCCCTGGGACATGCAAATAGATAGACACAAATAACGGGATTCCCATATTGTTCCAATATGTTCTTGGGTTTTCGTCTTCCCCCCCCACTTCCCATGTTTTCCCATATTTTTCCTGGGAACCGGCGATTCATTGCGTCTGTGTGTTCCCACAGAAGGCGAGGGAATCCCACGGCCTTGTGAGAAGTCTCCGAAGCCTCCCCGGGGACACGGATAATATCCCAGAATGCGCGAGGGCTTCTGAGAAGTCCCGCCGCCTTCTGGGAAGGCCTTCTCCTCTTCTCCGTCCGGATAATTTGTGCACTATTGACAGAAACTCTGGGGGCTGGGCATTGGGCAATGGGATTCACCTGCGTTTGACCCGAATTAAGTTTCACCCGTTTTCATTTACCCGTTTACAATAACCCGTTTGAGTTCACCCATTAAATTTCATCCAATTTAAATTCGCCCAGGTGTAAATTCATCCGATTTGAATTCGCCCCGGCTTAAATTCATCGGGTTGGTTTCTTCACTTCATCCGGTGCTATTCCGTCCGTTTGATTTTGCAAATTTGAAAACACCTGATTTGTCGCTCGCACTGACATCACCCTCTGGAATACGTCTGGTTTAAAAAGACTCATCAAATTTTAATTCTCCTGGTTCACATGCATCCTGCATCAATTCGCCGGGTTACAATTCATACGGCTTTATTTCGCCCGGTTTGCATTAAGCCGGTTTGAATTCGCCAAATTTATATTGATCAAGTTACAATTCGCCCCCTGCCCTGTTTAAATTCATCCGTTTCGAATTCACCCGGCTGCAGATCATCTGAATTACTTCGCCTGATGGCATGATCGACCCACGAACCCGGAAAGGAATACAGAAATGTAAGACATGGCAACGTTTCAAACACACCTGATTGGGCGACGGGCAAACGCAGTTCTGAATGTATCGATCTTGATGTACCGTGCCGAGGGCTGTGCTGTGCAGCGCCGTGCTGAATTGCGATGTGTCATGCCGCGATTGTGCTGCATAGCATTGTGGATCGAGTCCTCCTTTGCATCCGAGTCCTGACCGAACTGATCTGGACCTTAAGCTCGAGCTGCCTCAGCACATAGTAGCTGCCCCAGAGCGAATTGACAGGGGAACATGCCAGGAGGACGCGCCGCGGAACGTCCCAAGGGACGCGCCAGACGACGTGCCAGAGGACGTGCCACGGGGACGCACCGCGGGACGTGCCGAGGGGACGCGCTCCGGAACGTGCCAATGGACGTGCCACGGGACGTGCCAGGGGACGCGCCGCGCGACTTGCAGGGGGACTCGCCACGGGACGCGCCACGGAACGTGCCAAGTTGCAATGCTGAGTGTATCGATCTTGATGTACCGTGCCGAGGGCTGTGCTGTGCAGCGCCGTGCTGAATTGCGATGTGCCATGCCGCGATTGTGCTGTATAGCATTGTGGATCGAGTCCTCCTTTGCATCCGAGCCCTGACCGAACTGATCTGGATCTTAAGCTCGAGCTGCCTCAGCACATAGTAGCTGCCCCAGAGCGAATTGACAGGGGAACATGCCAGGAGGACGCGCCGCGGAACGTCCCAAGGGACGCGCCAGACGACGTGCCAGGGGACATGCCACGGGGACGCACCACGAATCGTGCCGAGGGGGCGCGCTACGGAACGTGCCAATGGACGTGCCACGGGACGTGCCAGGGGACGCGCCGAACGACAAGCATTTCGCCTGAGACATCCTTTGAATTCTGGCCCCCCAAGAGGCCCCCGCTCGAGACATCCTCCAACTCTGCAAAACCAGCGTTTCTCTCGAGACATCCTAAACAATCGTTTCGCTAGGGACATCCTCAAATTTTAATTCGCCGGCCCACCTCGACCTCGATATCTATCGCAAAAGAAATTCGCCGGCCCACCTCAAGTCAAACCCAGAAGTAAACCAATGAAAAGAGAACCCTGGGCTTATGCCCTTTCCGGGACATGATCGACCCACGAACCCGGAAAGGAACATAGCCATGCAACGCATGGCAACGTTTTCAAAGACACCTGATTGAGCGACGGGCAAATGTAATGCTGAGTTTATCGATCTTGCTGTACCCTGCCGAGGACTGTGCTGAGCTGCGCCGTGCTGAATTGCGATGTGCCATGCCACGATTGTGCTCTATAGCGTTGTGGATCGAGTCCTCCTTTGCATCCGAGTCCTGACTGAACTGATCTGGATCTTAAGCTCGAGCTGCCTGAGCACAAAGTAGCTGCCCCAGAGCCAGTTGACAGGGGGACATGCCAGGAGGACGCGCCGCGGAACGTCCCAAGAGACGCGCCAAGCGACGTGCCAAGGGACGTGCCATGGGGACGCACCGCGGAACATGCCAAGGGGACGCGCTACGGAACGTGCCAATGGAAATGCCATGATACGTGACAGGGGACGCGCCGCGCGACGTGCCAGGGGGACTCGCCACGGGACGCGCCACGGAACGTACCAAGAAACATGCCAGGTTGCAATGCTGAGTGTATCGATCTTGATGTACCGATCCGAAGGCTGTGCTGTGCAGCGCCGTGCTGAATTGCGATGTGCCATGCCGCGATTGTGCTCTATAGCGTTGTGGATCGAGTCCTCCTTTGCATCCGAGTCCTGACCGAACTGATCTGGATCTTAAGCTCGAGCTGCCTGAGCACAAAGTAGCTGCGTCAGAGCTAATTGACAAGGGGACATGCCAGGAGGACGCGCCGCGGAACGTCCCAAGGGACGCGCCAAGCGACGTGCCAGGGGACGTGCCATGGGACGTGCCATGGGACGTACCGCGGGACGTGCCAAGGGGACGCGCTACGGAACGTGTTTGGGACGAGCGTTTCGCTCGAGACATCCCGCCAAAATCCTCATGCTAGACATCCGCCTGACATGAAAACAAGCGTTTCGCTCAACACATCCTCAACACATTCTCATGCGAGGCATCCGCCTGGGCGAACTGGACACGTGAAAACAAGTGGTTCGCTCGAGATATCCTCAATACATCTGCATGTGAGACTTCCGCCTGGGTGACCTGGGCACGCGGAAACAAGCGTTTCGCTCGAGACGTTTTCAACACCTCCTCGTTCTAGACATCCGCCTGGGCGACCTGTGCACGTGAAAGCAAACGTCTCGCTCGATACATCCTCAACACATCTTCATGTTAGACATCCGCCTGGGCGACCTGGACACGTGAAAACAAGCGTATCTCTCGAGACATTCTCAACACATCCGCATGCTGGGCATCCGCCTGGGCAACCTGGACACGTGCAAACAAGCATCTCGATCGAGACTTCCTCAACACATCCTCATGCTAGACATCCGCCTGGGCGACGATGACGCGTGAAACCAAGCGTCTCGCTCGAGACATCCTCAACAAATCCTGGCGTGAGCAACCTGGAGGCGTGAAAACAAGCGTCTCGCTCGAGACATGCTCAAGACCTGGGCACGTGAAAACAAGCATTTCACTTGAGAGATGCTTTGAATTCTGGTCCCCAGGAGAGGACAATACATGACACAAAACAAGCGTTTCGCTCGAGACATCCTCAATCAATTCTGAAAAACAAGCGTTTCGCTCGAAACGTCCTCAAATTTTAAATCGCCGGCCCGCCTCGACCTCGATATTTATCGCAAAAGAACTTCGCCAGCCCACCTCAAGTCAAACCCGGGGGTAAACCCACTAAAAGAGAACCCTGGGCCTTAGCCCTTTCCGGGAAAAAAACGGGCGAAACCAAAGAGGAGGAAACACAAGCGGGCGAACCAAATACGAGCGCATCAACACCGGATGTCCCGAAGAGGGCGCGGCAGCTCCATGCGAAACCTGCCGTTGAGGCAGTCTGAAGAAGCTCCCTATGGCACCACGAAGCAAAGCTGCAAGAGATGCACCAGAAAAAATTCGGGGACGCCATGAGGACGCAGCCGCTGGAGCCTTCAGTAAATACACTCGTTGGGCTACCAAAAAGGATGCGCAAAAAGGAACCATGTTTTTTTCTGGCCACAGAGGCCCTGAGCAGAAATATCATCTACGGAACGGTTCGAAAACCCGGACCCCCGCGAATGCCTTGACTGTCCCTGTGGGCACCGAAGCGACACGGAAGAGGAAACTACTGAATCACAATACTGTTGTCTTCGAACTGACAGGTGGAACCGATTGGAGAGCGAAACAAAAATTACTCCACTCCACGACTCGCCACGTGGCAATGCCTGTGGGGCGGAACATACACAAGCTCACTCTACTCGACACGTGACAACGCCGTGGGAGTGAAACAACTACTGATCCACTCCCCTCGCCACGAGGCAACGCTCGGAGGGGGGAACAAGAACAAAAACTACTCCACTATACTCGCCATATGGC